CAGATAAATAGAGATACAGATAAATAGAGATGATACCGTTTCCCCCAAAATAAGCCCTCCCTGGATAATAAGCCCAATTGGGCTTTTGAGCGCATGTGCTAAAATAAGCCCCCCCCCCCAAAAATAAGCCCTCCTTGAACACCGCAGCAGCCAGGAGGTGACCACGCTTGCTGCCTCCTGGACCTCAAAAATAATAAGACCTCACTGAAAATAAGGCCAAGTGCTTATTTCAGGGGTCAAATGAAAGTAAGACCCTGTCTTGTTTTTGGGGAAACACGGTAGATAGATAGAGAGCAAAGGCCTTAGACTTATATACCGCTTTGCAGTGCCTCTCTAAGCGGTTTACAGAGTCAGCCTTTTGCCCCCCAACCATCTGGGTCCTCATTTGACCCACCTCGGAAGGACAGGAGGCTGAGTCAACCTTGAGCCTGGCGAGAGTCGAACTGCCAAATTGCAGGCAGTTGGCAGAAGCGGCCTGCAGTACCTGCGCTCTAAGACGGGCAGCTATCCGGAAGCCCGCGGGAACCTTGATAGATAAGGGGGTATTTACATGCAGGATTGGAGCCTGTGGATTGGAGTCTTGGTGCTCAGCATCAACTTGGGCCTTTTTGTAAAAACTCCCTGCTCAAACGACCTCTTACTCGTAGTCTATCCTGACTTCCGTGATGGCGTCAAAGCCCGATTTGTCGACACCGGCTCTCCCGTGGACGGAGGTCAGGTGTTTTTTGAGGGCAGACTTATGCTTGAAGTCCATGTCGCAGCAGTGGCACTTGTAAGGCCGGTCGCCGCTGTGGATGTTGAGGTGGTCCTGGAGGGTGCTCTTGGCGGTGAAGGTCTTCAGGCACACCATGCACTGGAAGGGGCGGATCCCCATGTGCCCACGGATGTGCCGGTTGAGGTTCTTCTTTTGGGTGAAGGTCTTCCCGCATTGCAAGCACAGGAAGAGTTTGTGCATCTTTAAGTGCCGGAGGTAGTTCTCCAGGTGGAGGAAGCCGCGGGGACACTTGGGACACTGGTGCCGCCACGTGTAGCCGGCCTCCTCGGAGTTCGGGAAGTCCGCGTGTGCGGCTCCTTCCGGATTCTCCCCGCCGAAGCTCTGGAACTGGGCCGCTTCGCTCAGCCTGCTCTCCACGGTTGAGTTGATCAAGGAGTGCTGAGTTTCGGGGAAGTACAAGTTGGTTTTCGAAGAGGTGCAAGGCTGTGGGAAGGGCTCGTCCTCCACGCTGGGGACGCCGTCAATGGAATCCATCTGGAAAATGCAGATTTCGTCGTCCTTGTAGCCGATCTCTACGGTGGAGATCTCTGGGCTTTTGACCTCCTTCCTCTCGGGCATTAAGCCCTGCACGGACGCCGGCAGGATATCTCCCTTCTCTTGTTTGATGTGCTCGTCTACGCTCACGGGGCTGTCCGCAGAGATCTCGATGATTTCGCAGTCTTTCTCGGGGCAGCTCTCTCGGTTGCCCAGCTCCATGTCCGAAGAGTGGCATTTCTCCGCACACCTGCCGTTGCCTTCAACGGAGGCGTCAATTTCGAGGTACCTGGAAAGGGCCTCCGTGCACTTCTCCACGATGTGCACCATCTGCAGGTAGCTGGCTGCCGTGAGGTATTTCAAAAGCTCTTTCCTCTTCACTTCCAGTGCCCCCGTGTAGCAAGAGAGCAGCAGCTTCCGGCCAACTTCGGCGCTCTGCAGAATCGTAATCCGGACGTGCTGGGACTGAGAGAGCAGGAACTGGTCCCGCATGAAGGTGGAGCAGGCGGCGAAGATGACCTTGTGCCCGTGGAACTCCGTGTCGTCAATGTAGATGGAGACGTCGCAGAAGAGGTTCTGCTGCCGCAGCAGGTTCATCTTCTGCAGCACAGCGTCGCCCTGCTGCGCGAACTGGAAATGGAGCACGTCCGAATCAGCAGCCATGATGACGATCCTATTTTTTTGGGGGGGGGGGGAGAGGGGGAAAGAGGAGAGAATGGAATGGAAAAAAAAAAAGCTCAACACTGCGAAACAAGCCATTGGTTCCTGTAACCCCTGCACCATTTACCTTAAACTGTTAACCATGCACCAATTTTTTTTTAAAGAGGTCTGTAAAGGGCCAGCGCGCCTACCATCCCTGTCCTATTGTCCCCATTTATATGCACTCATTTATGTGCTTATGGCTATGTTTTGCTTACTTATATTCATTTATTTGTGCCTTTTCTTTCATGTGTCCATGTCTATATCTATACTGACACATATTTTCTTGTACTTGTTGATAAATAAATAAATAAAATAGCTCTGGTTTGGGGACGACATATATAAATCTCATTGCACATGTGCACTACAATAAAAAATTATTATTATTATACAATTGTATCACAGCGGCCAGTTGTTTCGCCGGATTTGGCATTGGTTACTAGTCGGGCCCCACCCAGGGGCCTANCGACAGAGAGTCATCAATTTGGCACAAGAAACCATTGGTTGCCCTCTGACACCACTGGATGACATCGCCAGATCTCGCTGCTCTAGCAGAGTAAAGAAGATACCCAGAGATAATTCACACCCTGGTCAGTGTCTCTTTGCACTTCTACCATCGGGCAGAAGACATCAAAGTATAGCCAGCCGAACAAACAGGTTTAAAGATAGTTTCTATCGTTGGGCTGGGAGACTTTTAAATACAACCACAATCACTCAATGCCCATGCTACTTTTTTCTTCTCTTTCTTTCTTTTTTCGTTTCTGTTATAATTTTGCACCAGTGAGGTTAAAACACAATCTCGTTGTGTTTAAGTACAATGACAATAAAGATTATACTTATACTTATTTTATACAAATTCTCCTTGTATGCAGTTGACATTGCTAGTTTATCATTTCTGTCCCATAATTGCTGCCATTTATCTATCACACGTCCAATGTCTTTGCCCATGCTATCATTGTTTCTTTTACGGAAGAGAATATCTGTCAGCTCAGGGTTTGCGCAAAGGGTCCTGGCGACTTTCTTGCAACATCTCGTCACCAAGCTAGGTAACTTCACCAGTGCAAAAGGGAATGGGTTTTGCAGGGAGGAGGAGAACTGTGGGGTTTTTGGTGCTCTCTGAGCTTGGTGGTTTTCTTGCAGACATTTCATTAGCCACAACCTAAGTAAAAGAAGAGAGTGGGATTTACAGGCAGGAGAAGAAGGGGAAGGACGACTGTGCACTCTGATCTTGGTAATTTTCTTGCCGATGTTTTGTGACCCAGCTAGGGAACAACATCAGCGCAGGAGAGTGGGCTTTATGGAGAGGAGGAGGAGAAAGAGCAGAAGAAGGAAGAATGGGGTGGGAGTAGAAGAAGGGGACAACTGTGAGGTCTTCTATATTCTCTGAACATGGATGTTTTCTTGCAGAAATTTCATGACCCAACTAAAGTACATCATCAGTGCATGCCTAAATGATACCAAGCACCAGGATTTGGGTTTAATTGTTCCAACTTTGTTATTCTATTAACCAGCGGAGCAGCTTGCCACTAGAAATTGTGGGAGCTCCATCATTGGAGGTTTTAGAAGAAGAGGCTGGATAGCCACCTGTCTGAAATGGTATAAGATATCCTGCTTGAGCAGGGGGCTGGACTAGAAGACCTCCAAGATCCCTTCCAACTTTGTTATTCTATTAATTAGTGGAACCGCTTGCCATCAGTTGTCATTACTTAATCACTGGAGGTTTTTTTAAGAAGAGACTGGACAGTCACTTGTCTGAAATGGCATAGCTTCTCCTGCTTGAGCAGGGGGCTGGACTAGACGACCTCCAGGGTCCCTTCCAACTTCCTTCCTTCCTACCTTTCTCCTTCCTTCCTATCTTTCTCCTTCCTTCCTACCTACCTATCTTTCTCCTTCCTTCCTTCCTTCCTTCCTTCCTTCCTACCTTTCTCCTTCCTACCTTTCTTTCCTTCCTTCCTACCTTTCTCCTTGCTTCCATGGTATAGGTTCTCTGGCTTGAGCAGGGGCTGGACTAGAAGATCTCCAAGGTCCCTTCCAACTCCGATATTCTGTTAACCAATGGAACTGCTTGCCACCAGAGGTTGTCATTGCTTCATCACTGGAGGTTTTTTAACAAGAGACTAGACGCAGCCACTTGTCTGTGATGGCACAGCTTCTCCTGTTTAAGCAGGGGGCTGGACTAGACGACCTCCAAGGTCCCTCCAGGCAGGAAGGCCCACCTTCATAACCTCACCCAGACCTCCTCCCCATGCACCCCCCTTCCCCGCTGATCTTCCCCTGTTGGGATGGCCTGGGGGTCCCCCCACTTCCCTGCACCCCCTTCACCTCCATCCCGCCGGGGGAACCTCCAGCATTGACGTCCCTCCCTCCCTCCCCGCCCTCTTCCAAGGAGCTGGAGCTGCGCCGGGCTCCAGTGGCCGCGAGTTCCCCCGGCCCCCAGGGAAGAGGCGGGTGAAGGCTTACGGGCTCACCTCCTCTCCGCCTCCCCCCGGCGCCGCTGATCCGGGGTCCGCCCGGGGGGGGGGGGGAGACGCCTGGCCGAGAGACCGGCTCACCGCCACCGGAAGCTGCTCTGCCCCACTTCCGGTGCCGCCTCTCTCTTCCCGCCCCAAGTCGGCGCGAAGAAAAGAAGGGGCGGGACCGCCGCGGGTTGCTAAGGAAGAGGCGGTGCCGCCCGGCCGGAAGTAGCTCGGGGATGTTTTTTTTTCCCCTTTCCTTTCCTCCTGCTCAGGCGCCGGAAGGGGCAGGCACCGCTTCCGGCGACGGGCCCGGTCACGTGACCGGGGTTGGGATCCGGGCGCTGAGGCGGCCTGACAGTGGCGGCGGCGGCGGCGGCGCTGCTGCTCCCGCGGCGGGCGAGAGGGGAGGCGGCGAGGGCGGTGGCGGCGGCCCGGCCCATCTGGATGAGGGTGAGCTGGAGCGGGAGCCTCGTCGATGTGGGGCGCCGGAGGGGGGCGGGGCCGGCGTTGGGGGAGGGGGGTAGGATCCCGATTAGTGGGCGGGGCTCTCCAGGGGGAAGTGGGGGAGAGCCAATAATCCATAATCGATCATCGCAGCCCTGGTCAATCAAGGGGAGTTGGGAGGTCTGTGCTAAAGAAACACCCCCCCCCATCGTGATCCTATTCTGCGGCTGAGCATTCCCTTGGATGGGGCACCACCAGGAGATCCCAAAACCGACAAAGTTTGGGATTGAGACATTATGCCATTCCTTGGATGGGGGACCACCAGGAGATCCCAAGTTTGGAATTGGGACATTATTCCCCCTCCCCCTAAATGCCCCAACCCACCTGCCATTCTTTGGATGGGGCACCACCAGGAGATTCCAAGGCCTGACAAGTGGGTTGGGGTGTTTGGGGAGGAAACCAAAATAACCTCCCAATCCCAAGCTTGCCAGCCTTGGGGATTTCCTGGTGGTGCTCCATCCAAGGGATGCCTAGCCCAACATCAGGATCGATAAAGAGAAGAGGGAAGGGGAGCATGCACACACACAGGTACGTTATGAATGGCCCCGATCCCCCCCCTTTTGCTCCAGCCAGGATCGAGGGAGGGGGGAATGCCGCTACTTTGGTGGGTGGGTGGGTGAACCCTCTCTTATCGCGCCTGATCGTGTTCCAGAGCTTGGCGTCCCTTGGATGGGGCACCCCCAGGAGATCCCAGGGCCTGGCAGGTAGATAGGTTGGGGCGTTTGGGGAAAAAAAAATAACGTCCCAATCCCAAGCATGCCAGCCTTGGGGTGTCCTGGTGGTCCCCCATCCATCTAAAGGATGCCAAGCTCTGGAACAGGATCAGGATCGATAAAGAGGGGAGGAAAGGGGAGCACTGACACCCCCCTCCTTTCCACCTCCCCCCCCCCCAAGAAACAGAAAATATCTCCATTGCGTTTCTTTAATGTATGGAAAAATGTCCCATAAATTCCTCTCAATTCGAACTTGACTCCCAAGGCCGTTTTTATATTTATGTTGGTGAGAAGAAGGGAAGGTTGGTCAAGAAACCTCCTTTGCCTGCAGTTCATGGGAAGAAACAAGGGAGGCATTCGTGTTTTGGTTATTCCGTGTATCCCTCCAAACTTCACTCAAAGTTCCGGTTGGGTTGTCTATTTATTTACCTCTTGTGTGTTTATCATCAGAGAACGCTCTGTTTATAAACACAGACACATATGCATAATCTATAGACACCCACACATGTATGTACAAAGACTTTGCACAGGATGTGTCTGTGTGTGGGTGTGCATATTCTTACGTTTCTCTCTCTTCCTCTCTCTCCCTCTCTCTCTGTCACTCTCTCTTTCTCCCTCTCTCTTTTTCTCTCTCCCTCCCTCTCCCCCTCGCTTTCTCTCTCCCTCTTTCCTTATCTCCCTCTCTCCTTCCCTCCCTCTCTCTTTCTCCCTCCCTCCCCTCTCTCTCACTCTTTCTCTCTCTCTCTCTTTCTCTCTCTCTCTTACTCTCTCCCCTTCTCTTTCTCTCTCCCTTCCTCTTTCTCCCTCCCTCTTTCTCCCTCCCTCCTATTCTCTCTCCCCCCTCTCTCCTTTCTCTCTCTCTCTCCCCCTCTTTCTCCATCCGTCCATCCGTGTATGTATGTAACTTTTTTGCTGCTAAATAAATGGAGACTTTTATAGATCTATTTCAAGCTATTTAGCTCTCATCAGCTAGCCATACCCTTGCTATCCCTACCATGTTTGGGTTGACCAGGTACTTTGACAAAAGAAAAACCACGATAGATAGATAGATAGATAGATAGATAGATAGATAGATAGATAGATAGATAGATAGATAGATAGATAGATAGATAGATAGATAGANATAATACATAATACTGGAATTACATAATAATTACATTATTATTGTTATTATAACTACATTATTATTGTTATTATAACTACATTATTATTGTTATTGTTATTATTATTGTTATTATTATTATATACTTTATTCATTAAACATGAAACTCAGTCAACTGAACATTTAAAAATGCATCACAAACACCATTGACTGGTGCTAATAGTTGATACGGGTTGCTGCCAGCCTCCTAGGTATCAACCAAGTACTTTCTTAAGTTCTGCTGGTGGACTTACTACTACTACTACTACTACTACTACTACTACTACTACTATTACTTCTTCTATTACTATTACTTCTTCTTATGATCTCTTTTATTCATTAAACATGGAACTCGGTCAACTGAATATTTAAAGATGTGTCACAAATACAGGTTCAACCAAGTACCTTCTTAAGTTCTGCTGCTGGTATCATCACCATCATCATTATTTAGCCTATGGCCAATACATGGACTTCTAGGGGTTCAAATAACGTCCAGTCCACCCAGCCATTGAGTTATGTAATATATTACTATATACTGTATTATCAATGCGAATAACCCTAGCAACCTTAATAATATTACTGAGAGGCATGGAATAGGACCCTCTATATACTAATTCCCTTATCAGCTTACTTGGGGGGGGGCGTTTGGAGACGCCCCCTCCCCGGAGGGGGAAGACGACCACCCTGCCCTCCCCACTTTCCCTCCTCCGCTCACCGGGCGGCTGGCGACGTGGAGGAGAAGGAGGAAGAGGAGAGGGCCCCCAGCCAGGCTCCTTCCCGGCCTCGACTGCAGAGGGGCTCCTTGGCTGGCAGGGGGCGACTTCCGGGCGTAGCGAAGCCCGCCCCCGCCCGCGACCCGGAAAAAGAACCCTTCAGCAGCCAGCACGTGCTGCGCCGGCTCCTGAGTGGCCGACGTTTACTCACCCCTCCCCGTGCGGGATGGGGGGGGGCTCAGCCAATGGGAAGGGAGAGGCGGTTGGGGCGCAACAGGGCTCCTGATTGGCCGCCGTTTCCCCCCCCCCACCACCACTGGGGGAGGGGGTGGCGGCGCTCAGCCAATGGGAAGGGAGAGGCGGTTGGGGCGCATGCGCCCGGAGAGGCAAAGTTTTCAGCCTCGCTGGGAGGGTTTCGTACCGTGAGAAGAAGTGGGGGTGGGGGGAATGAGGAGGAGGAATGGATCCCGGGATCTGGGTCGGTTCCCCGCGATCGAGGGGTGGGTCTTTTGGAGGTATCCGGTTGCAAGCCCGCTCAGGGAGGCATTGCCGAGGCATAAATGTCGCCCTGCTAGCTTCTGGCATCGGATTATGCAGATTGATGATGGGGGGGGGGGGGCAAAGTTTTCCTCAGGTAGTCCTCGGTTTACAACGATTCATTCAGTGACGGTCAATGCGGTCTCTTCCCTGCAGTTTTCCTCCTCAGACAGTCCTCGATTTACAACAGTTCATTCAGTGACGGTCAATGCAGTTTTTTTCCTGCAGTTTTCCTCCTCAGGCAGTCCTCGATTTACAACGGTTTATTTAATGACCCTAAATGCAGTCTCTTTTGCCACATCCTGAAGATGAAACTTAAATACTTTGGCCACCTGATGAGAAGGAAGGACTCTCTGGAGAAGAGCCTAATGTTGGGAACGATGGAGGGCAAAAGGAAAAGGGGACGACAGAGAATGAGGTGGCTGGAGTCACCGAAGCAGTCGGTGTGAGCTTAAATGGACTCGAGGATGGGAGAGGACAGGAAGGCCTGGAGGAACATTGTCTATGGGGTCGCGATGGGTCGGACACGACTTCACAATTTACAACAATCCAGGGATGTAAAGAGAGAGAGAGAGAGAGGGAGAAGGCATAGTGGAGAAGAGCAGAAAAGAGAAGGGTGGGAGGAGGAGGAAGAAGCAGCAGAAGACAGAGAAGGAGGTGGCTGGATGGAGTCACCGAAGCAGTCGGCATGAGCTTAAGTGAACACTAGAGGATGGTAGAGGACAGGAAGGCTGGGAGGAACATTGTCTATGGGGTCGTGATGGGTCGGACACAACTTCACAACTAACAACAACAACAATCAAGGAATGTGAAGAGAGAAAGAGAGGGAGAAGGAATAGTGGAGAAGAGGAGAAAGGAGGAGGAGAAGAAGAAGACAGAGAATGAGATGGCTGGATGGAGTCACCAAAGCAGCCTGCGTGAGCTTAAATGGACTCCAGAAGATGGGAGAGGACAGGAAGGCCTGGAGGAATGTTGTCCATGGGGTCGCGATGGGTCGGACACGACTTCGCAACTAACAACAACAATCAAGGGATGGAAAGAGAGAGGGAGAGGGCATAGTGGAGAAGAGCAGAAAAGAGAAGTGGGGGGAGGAGGAGGAAGAAGAAGCAGAAGAAGACCGAGAAGGAGGTGGCTGGATGGAGTCACCGAAGCAGTTGGCGTTAGCTTCAATGGACTCCAAGGGGATGGTAGACGACAGGAAGGCTTGGAGGAATGTTGTCCATGGGCTTGCAATGAGTTGGACATGACTTCGCAACTAAGAACAAATCTAAGTGCTATTGCTATTCCTAATGGTCTTTCCCCCATCCTAACACATCCTCTCTGGATACAACCGGGGTGGATAAAAATCAGTGATTAAAAAAAAAAATCCAAAAAATTGGATTTTTAAAATTTAAATCAAATTGTTTTCATTTAAATCAGATTTATTTTTATTTTTATCCAATTTATTTTAATAAAATGCTTTTAGAGTAAAAAAAAAATCTATCTAAAGATAGTTTTCCACTTAAGATCCATTCGTAATTGAGTTTATTCGGCATGAAATAGAGCTTAGTTACATATCATGAGGTGTAACTGCAATCGGTGAGTCAACCGAGGAAGAGCCACTGGGACAGAGATGATAGCTGCTCTTTAAAATCAACTTGATTTAAATCAAGCCTTTTTACTAGTGATTTAAATCGACGTGATTTAAATCAAATCCGCCCTGCATACAACTCAGTCTTGTGACCAGTTCAGTCTGCTGACAAGATTTAAAAAATGGCAGTTTTCTTGTACAGGCAGTGCTGAACAGTTGATTTAGTGACCATTTGAAGTTACTGTCAGGGTTCCAAATAGCATCCAAAAGCAAATCAAGAGGCAAAGGATTCCTCAAAAATCCAATTTATTGTGAGAATCTGAAAGCTGCTAGGTTTCCCCCCCTCAGTTGAAAGTTCAAGATCCTGCCCCCACACCCACAAGTTCATCACATGTTCCAGTCCCCTACTGCCATGCTGGCAGTTCCGCCCATCCAGTTCTGGCCAGGTGCAGAGACAAAGGATGACCTTGGCTTTCTAGAAAGAATGTTGTTATGGCTACATATCTAATTCCATACAATCCCCCCTCCCATTTTCCCACCATAGAAAATGAATAGTAGAAAGTGTGGCAGGCCGGAAGTCCAAAAGAAAAGATGGCTTGCAGACTGGATAATTACAACGGCACTAGAAAAACGTGACTTATGATTGTTTTTCACATTTACGACCGTCACAGTGTCTCCACAGTCACACGATCAAAATTCAGACCCCCCACCCCGACTCCTATTTATGATGGTTGCAGTGACCTGGGATGTGTGCGATCCCTTCTTGCGCTGAGCAAAGTCAACGGGGGGGATCTGGATTCACTTAACCCACCACGTGACTCACTTAACGGCAGCGGTTCATTTCACAATGGTCATAAAACGGGGCGAACCTCGCTTGGAAAGTGCCTTGTTTGGCAACCAAAAAACCCCCCTCCCATCGTGCTTTGTAACGGCACCTGCCGCATTGAAAATAAATAAATAAAGGAAGGTAAATGACGTATTGGAAAGAGGTGTAATTGCTTTATTCTGACAGTACACAAACAGAAGGGTGAGAAATCTTCTGGACATTAGAATGCATTCACAGATCAAGATAGCCTCCCCACCCCCCAAGAGGTTGGCAAGGTGTTGAGGGCGTGGTAGGGGGATCCCCTCTGGGGGAAGCCCTCACAGGGAGAAAGGACAATGCTGGTGGTTGTGTGGTTCTACCTACGAATTGCTACAGAGTCACAAGATCCCCCCCTACCCCCTTTGAGGGGGGCTATCCTTCCACCACCGGCTCACTTCGATCTTTGAGCCAACCTCCTCCCCTTTTCTACACATACACAATTACTACTCCTCTCCCAACTTCTGAGCTCAGGACGAGCAGAAGATGGCGATGGGTAAAGAAGAAGAAGAAAAAGAGACGGGATACGAAGTAAGGAAGCTGCATTCCCACAACTCCTCGCGCCGGAGATCTCTCGGGCAGAAAGATGTTGAAAATACAGGAATACTCAGCATCCAAGACATCCTGAGGTTCTGAAGGACCCTTCCTCCAATCATGTTTCTCGAGGAAACTTCATTTAGGGGAGCAAATATTGCAATCCTGCTTCTATAGCCTGGTACAAAGACCCCCACAATATAGAAAAACAAACCCAGGGGTCTCCGACGACAGAACTCTGGCTAAGAGTAATGGAAATACGGCTCATACAATGCACTAATCATCCACCTTCAACTAGTAACATTTTGGGCTGCTTGGGCATCCCTCTTCCCCAGGAATAATTCCAAAGGAGGAAGAACCAACCTTCTCTGGGGATCTTCTCCCTTTTCAGAGGTAAACCAACCCCATTGCATTACTTCTAACCATTTTACCAAATGCCAATAGTATTTGGAGCACCATATATAGCCAGCTGCTCTTCTGGTTTCCAGTGCACTGGAAAACAGCCTGAAAAATGCCCCCAAAATAGGCTGTTTTCCGGGCCGTTTTCAGGATGTTTTCCAGGATGTTTCTGAGCCATTTTTGGCCTGAAAAACAGCATGAAAATGGCCCAAAAACAGCCCAGAAAACACAGATATGCGCACGGCAGCCAACTGGATTTACAGTTTCCGGCGCTCTGGCATGCACACACATGCATGAGTGTTCTGGTTTGGGCACTCTGCCAAAAAGGTTCGCCATCACTGATACATACCGTATTTTTCGGCATATAAGCCACACCTTTTCCCCTCAAAAAGAGGGTGAAAATCTGGGTGCGTCTTATACACTGAATACAACATTTTTGGCCTCCCGAATCTCCGCCCCTTCCCAAAAATGGCTGTGCAGAGGGTTTGGGGGGCCTGCAAACTGCTCCTGGGTGCTGGGGAGGGCAAAAATGAGTAGAAACCGGGCCATTTATTGCTTGTTTCTGCCCCCCCAGCCCCCAGGAGCACTCTACAAGCCTCCCAAAGCCTACGCATGCCCTGGTTTTTTTTTTTGCAAAAAAAGGGCCTGTTTTTATGTAAAATGAGCTGATTTTTGCTCATTTTTGCCACTCCCTAGCCCCCAGAAGCACTTTGCAGGCCTGTCAAACTCTCTGCATGCCCCGTTTTCCATGAAAAAAACAATGCTTGCAGAGGATTTGGGAGGCCTGCAGAGTGCAAAACCTTTTTAAAAAAATCTTGGTGTCTTATACTCTGGTGCGTCTTATAGTCCGAAAAATATGGTTGTTTTTTTTTTAGCCGACTTGGGATCCCAGGGATATACGTCAGAAAATCGAGGGATGTCAGCTGAGGGCCCTTTTAGCCTCAGAAGAGAAACCGTTTCAGGGGAAAAACCTAATTTGCGTTGCAAGAATCCCCTGGGCGAGGAGGAGGTGGGTAGGTGGCTGGAGAGACACACAAACTTAACCGTCCTAAACACCACCACGCTGCCGTCTCTGCAAAGAATGCGGTGACAGCTATTCTGGTAGGGAGGAGCTGAGCCTGAGCCAAAAAAGGGGAGGGTCATCACACAGCATGAAAGGCCATTCCACCAGCCTGCTGATCCAATTCTCACCCCATCCCCAGTTTTGCTCTGAAGCAATTGTGCTGCTGTTCTCCCCACTCGCCATATTAGCAAGGAACTACTGTGTTAAGCGTTGATGCTCCTTTAGGCTAGGAGCCGCTGAGAGGGAAGGCGTACCTGATGGTTTTTAATAAAGAATACAAAAGAAGAAAATGCGCCCAGAGGCGACCGAGTAAAAAGACTTTTTTTTATAATTATCCAGTGTTTTTTTCCCCCCTCTCCTTTTTCTAAGAACACAGTCCTGTCTTTAGCTTAAAAACTTCACCAAGAACGGGGTGTATCCGTTCGTGGTTTTTCTTCTTAAAAATGCCTTTGGCTGGCTCACCACCAAGTGCTTTTTTTTTGGCAGAACTTAAACCAAACCAGGGGGTTTCTCCCCTCTGCCAGCTCTTGTAATATTCACAGGAGGAGGTTCCGCTCTCAAGAGAGACAAAAGTCGCTTGTAGACACGCCTTTCTAAAGGAAAGAGGTCGGAGGAGGCTGGCTACAAGGTCAGGTTCAGCTCCACCCCACCGGAGCTCAAAAGTGGGGAGCCGTTCCAGGTTGGAGTGCCTAGGCCAGCTCCTCCATCCCCGCAGTGGTTAATGGCAGAAGAGGCTGGGGAGGTTGAGGCAAGCCCTCAATTCACGCAGGTGCTTTCGCTCCGCAAACTGAGCACGGCTTGGGCCAGTTTCCCCGCGTCCAGCGCCTGGCTGGCTTCGTTGGCGGGGCAGCCTTTGGCGTCGGCCGCCGAGCTGCAGACGAATGCCTCGAAGTCCGCGGCGGAGTCCTGCGCGCTCCTCTCATTGGCGTTGTCGAAACTGTTCTTGCCGTGGAGCTGCTTGAGGTGCTTCCGGAGGACGGGCTTGTGGGCGAAGACCATGTCGCAGTAGTTGCACCGGTGGGGCTTGTCCCCGCTGTGCAGGTTGAGGTGGTCCTGCAGGGAGCACTTCTGGGAGAAGGTCTTCCCGCAGATCTTGCACTGGAAAGGCTTGATGCCGGCGTGGACGCGCATGTGCCGGTGGAGGTTGCCCTTCTGGGTGAAGGTCTTCCCGCACAGGAGGCACATGAACAGCTTGTGCATCTTCAGGTGGTTGGCGTAGTTCTCCAGGTGCCGGAAGACGCGGGTGCACTTGGGGCACTGGTGGTGCCACTGCAGGCCCTTGTCCGCTCCGCGGGGGCTGGGGCCAAAGAGCTCCTTGGAGGCCACGATGAGGTTGTCAGCCGGCGAGTAGGCCAGGGCGTAGTTGTGGAGCTGGCCCTGCTCCAGGTCGCCAACCCGGTTTTCCACGGTGGAATTGATCAGGGAGTGCTGGGGCTCTGAGGAAGGGAGTGAGCTCTGCTGCTCGGAGGAAACGAACAGCCCGGGGTCCTTTTTGCTCCCCACCTCCGCCACCTCCCCAATGGACTCCACTTTCACGATCTGGATGTCACTGTTGTCCATGTCCAGGCTGTCCTCCGAGGGCTGGAGGCAAGGCGAATCGGGCTGCAAGGAGTCATCGTCTTCCTCCTCCTCCTCTTCGTCTTCCTCCTCCTCCTCCTCTTCTTCCACCCCGCTGGCTCCGACGGCCTCCTTCGACTGGGAGGATTTGGCCCTGGTCTGGCTCTCCTCTTTGCTCTCCAACTTCTGCTTCGGCCGGATGAACTTCCAGAGCGCCTCCGTGCAGCGTTCCACAATGTGGCTCATCTGAAGGAAGCTGGCGGCGGTCAAATAGTTCACCAGCTCCATCTCGGGGAACTCCAACACCCCGCTGTAGCAGGACAGGAGCAGCTGACGCCCGACTTCCGAGCTCTGCAAGATGGAGATCTTGACCTCCCTAGAGTCGTTGAGCAGGAACTGGTCTCTCAAGAAGGGCGAGCCGGCGGCAAAGACGACCTTGTGGCCATGGACCTCCAGGTCGTCGATGAGGACGGTGACATCACAGAATTTGTTCTCCTCTCTCAGCTTGTTCATCTTCTGCAGCATCGAGTCCCCGTAGTTGTCAAACTGGAAATGGAGGCTATCCGTCTTTTCGCTCATGTTGACAAAAGCCCTAAAGGGGATCAACAGAATATCTTTTTTTAAATGATTTTTTTTAAAAAACTTTCTTTTAATACAAACATTCCATCATTCATTAAACACTGTGTACAAATGTTTTGTGTTATAACCGTTAAAGCTTAGCACCATATTCGTTAATGACATCTATTCTTATTTTAATACTAATACTTAANGTTATCAGCTGCCTTCAGAGTCAGACATCAGTGAGGCAGAAGAACAGCTGGAGCCTGTTTGCAGTGTGTGCATATGCAGAGCTGCCAGATGAAGGGAACAGCTAAAGAACAAGGGCCGACGCGTGAATAAAGGCACAGACGGACGGTGACTGGGGAATAAAATAAAAGAGGAGCGAAAGGGGAGTGGACATTGAGTTGGCCATGCCCACCCATGTTTTGTGGCTCCCAGTGTTTTCTTTTCTGTGGGAAATGGGTCCAAATGGCTCTTGACGTTTTTAAGGTTGCCGATTTCTGTAGTAAATCCTGGCTTAGAGTCATTGCAATTTCCACCGCCTGCCATTTCTCTCCAAGGACCCTCTGCCGTCCATTTCCTTTGAAGTCGCATGGCCTCTCTTTTGGCCATTCCACGCTCGCCTCCGGATGATGCAAAACATACACCAGGGGCCGGATACGGTTGGGGTGTGTGATCCCGACGGGAGAAGTGTCAGAGATCCTTGTTTGTGGCAAGACCGGTTTTTGAACGGCAAATAAATGATTTGGTTGGGTTTGCTTAGCTGAGATACGCTTGCAGCCCTGCCCAAGGTTTTTGCCTTCCCTCCTGCCTCCGACCTTGAAGGAATCGTGGCAATGTTGGTGAGCCCCTTTACGCTGTTGGCCAGATGTTTCCTGTTCCCTGTCTCCGTCTTTTCAAAAAGGAATTGTGTTGGCTGCCGAAGGGCGAAGGACTTAGCTCTCTCTAGAAAGCAATGGAGGGGAAAGGCGGTTGTGGAGCCCAGCTCTCTGCCTCTCTTCTGGGTACACCCCAAAAACGAGGGTTGTGTTTCTGCTTGCCGGAGAAAGCCTCAGCCGGCCGGCAGGGAGAGTCGGGGCTGAGCACAATCTTTGGAAAGCAGGCATTTCCCCCGAGCGGTTTTCACTGCTTATCGGAGCCAGGCGCAGTTGAAGAGAAGCCGTTTGTGCCTGCAAGTCACCTGGTTCACTTCAGGGAGGACTGGAAGTTAAGGCACAGGCTTCAGTTGAGAGAACAAGAGAGAGAGGGAGGGGAGAGAGAGAGAGAGAGAGAGAGAGAGAGAGGTAGTAAATAGGTAGAGAGATAGGTAAACAGGCATATGGGTAGATAAAGGGTTAGGTAGGGAAAGAAAGAATTGGTAATAGAGAGAGAGAGGTAGTAAATAGGTAGAGAGATAGGTAAACAGGCATATGGGTAGATAAAGGGTTAGGTAGGGAAAGAAAGAATTGGTAATAGAGAG